CAACCGGAGAGATTGACGACTGAGTGAGGCTGAGAGCCTGATTATGAGTGGCAGTTATGAGATCGGGCTGCACGCCGCAGCATGTTATATCGATTTATGCTTGGATCTGGCTTATGATAGCGCTTGGGCTGTAGGAGCCCATCCGGAGTTTGTACACACCCAAGTGAGTGCGGATGATACTATTGAGGGATGGATTTTCTTGGACATGGATTTGTCCGAAGTACTTGATACCTGGAGACGGATTTCTCCACAGGGTTGGATTGCCCTTTTTCCTCGGTACTGGGTGTATAGTCAGTGTTGTATATATTCCGGGATGAATTTCCCTGGGCCGTATGGGCCATATACAGTACCGAGTGGTTGAGCATGATGAATGGAAAGTGTGAGATAGTGAGATTGAGTACTCTGAGAGTGTGAGTACATGATTCATCTCTGAGATACATGGCATTGGCATGCACACATGACATACAGGCATAGAGATGCATTTTTTCTCATACTGTACGGTATCACGTCATTCGTGACTTTTTACATACACAGATATGTGGGCATATAGAGGTATTTCACACTTGCTATCTGGAAAGAAAACGAAACATCTAATTTATTATGGAAAGGATTTCTTTGGAAAATTTACAGTTTTCAAATTATCTCATAATTTACGGCGATTTCGGTAAAGGATTTGAGTTTTCACTGATATTCTTGAAAAGTAGAACCATTTTTCGGGAAAACTATGAAAAAGCTAAGCATTTTTATCTCTGAGTTACTTTCTTATTTATATGCTCTACGTTGTTATGAACTGCTATTGGTTATTGGTGTTGTACCCGACCTATGTTCTAGCTCGTCACTGCTTTCAACCTAAGGTTAGTGTTACATCCCGCATTTTCGTATGTTGAAGTTTCGTCTTCAGTTAATTGAAGTAGACTCGGGGATGAGATTTTCTTGAGATTATAAGTATTATGCTATTTCAAACACATGATGAGTAAATTCGTGAAAGAGAGAAGGTAAGCAAATAGAAGAAAATGAATTTCGGTAAAGGTTGTCGATTTGAGATATAATACGGTCCGAGCCAAAATACCCGGTGTTTATAGACTAGTGCCACACAAGGAACTCCATGACCATGATATTAGGGTACATAAAGTGTATTAAAGTGAGTAGTATTTTAAGTAATTTGAGATAATTCTTAAATTATGTGGGTAATTGATTAATTATTGGGTAATTAATTAAAAAGTGGGATAAGATTTAACCCCTCCCCCAACGTGGCAAGCATCCCTATCAATTTAGTGACTAAGTAATATATGATGCAAGGTGTCACACTTTGAAAGAAATGTGACACCAAACATTAATTAGGTAAGGCCACCAAATGAGTAAGGATAACTTTCCTAAGTAAAAATTATCTTCAAGTCTCTTGAGAAAGAAAGATAGTAAGGTTCCTTCTAAAAATTCCAACCAAGATTCCTTACCTTCTTTCTATTGTTATTTCAGCAAAAGTAACATTGTTTCTAAGGTTATTTCTTATCTCTTAAGGAAAGATTTAACAACGATCATTTTTCAAATAGCAACGTTATTGCTTCGGGTATTTCATACGGATTGTTCCCTATTTCGATCTTGTTGTTACGTGTTTCGTCGCAATTGGCGTGTGTTAGAAGGGTTTTCTAGAGGATCGGCTTATGCATGTTAAGGCTATCCCTTCTTTCTTTTTTGGCATGATCTATACGACACGAACGAAACGAGCAAATGCACAACTTCCATAAATGAATCTATTCAAAGAAATACTAAAGATGCTTATGTTCTTGATTCTCCATGTGTCATATTTATTCTATCATCTGTTCATGGGTCTCAAAAATACGTAAGTTGGTAAAGTTTATTTCATGGTATTAATCAGAGGCATAATGGTCTTATGACGTACCGAGAGATTTTACTAACGTATCTCATATGCATTTCATGCATTTATACATGCACATTGACCCATGACCAGATGGCGTTATATACGCGTATATATATATATGTATATATATGTATATGGGATATGGGAAAGGTTATGGCATTATATAAGCACCACCACCTGATCAGCTGGTATACGTTGCTGATTTTGCTCACAGTGGCCGAGATGATATGACGGGATGCCCTCAGAGGCCTGATGATGTTATGAAACATATATATATGCATGACATGACATTCATACGCATATACATGACACTATAATTATTTCATGATTTACAGAGTTATCCAGACTTACAAGTTGAGTCATTTACTCTATATTTCTTCCATGTCTGTTATGTACTTATTTATGTGCCTTAAATACTCGGTACATTATTCGTACTGACGTCCCTTTTGCCTGGGGACGCTGCGTTCCATTTCCGTAGGTCCCGATAGACAGGTTGAGAGCCCTCCAAGTAGGCTATCAGCTCTGCGGAAGATGTTGGTGCGCTCCATTTGCTTCGGAGTTGCTTGTTTAGTTAGTATGATTTAGACGTGTATTGTTTGGTATGGCGGGACTCTTTCCTGTTCTTTATGAAAATTATGTATTTTTAGAGGCTTGTAGACAGATGTCATGTACGTAAAATATTGTATGGCCTTGTCGGCATATGTTCAGTATACGAGTGATTATTTTGGTCTTATAGGCCTGTACGTCTTATGTATAAGTTGGTATCACATGTTGTATTCTACTTATCTCACGGCAGCCTTCCAGCTCAGTTATCTATGATAGTATGACATGAAAGGATACGTTATGTTGGTACTCGATTGAGTAAGGTATGGGGTGCCCGTCGCGGCCCATCGGTTTGGGTCGTGACAGTAGGTTTGTTACTTACTCAGTACATTGGGTCGGTTGTACTGATACTACACTTCTGCACATTGCGTGCAGATGTTGGCTGCTGTTGTTGCTGTGTTGGATGGTTGCCGGATTTGAAGATGTACCTGCGTTACTGTTATAGCTGCCACTTGTTCATGGTAGCCTTAGATTTATAAAAAGAATTCTGTTTATGTACTTTTCAAACAGAAGATGTATTTACTCCATATCAACTTTGTAAATTCTATTCTCAGAAGCTCATGATTTGTACTACCAGTCCTTGGGAAAGGTTTAAGATTCACATAATTCCTTTGTTTGATTGTCTTATTACTATTATTAAAGTTGGGCAGTTATTAATTGGCTTACTTAGCAGGTTGAGTTAGGTGCCATCACGACTAGCGGATTTTGGATTGTGATAGGAGATTACTCATTCAGCTTTGTGTTCATTACCCAAAAGTTTTTTTTATTGTTACGTAAATGTCATTCAACTTTGTGTTCATTATCCCAAAAGTCACTTTCTTTCTTTTGTTACACAAAAATTATTTTACTTTGCTCTATTTATCACAATAGTTAAATTGGCCAGATTTTATAATACTTTTACTTGAAAAATCTATTATTCTCTTGGCATTATAAATTCTATCATTTAGTAATATCTTCAATATTAGTTAAAATATCATGGTATAGCCAGTTTTCACACTGGTCAATGAAAAATAGCCAGCGTTTATCAAGTCAATGAAACATAGCCACTATTTTGCTGCAACAGGGACCGCTCCAGTATAATATACGGGAGTTCTGGTGCATTTGTGTACGAACTCCAGCATATTATGCTGGACCGGTATACTTTGCTAACTCCTGTAAAATTTGCGGGAGACTGGAGCACCAGTGCTCCAAACTTCAGTATATTATACTGGACAATTATACTTGCTGGAACTCCCGTAAAATTTACGGGAGTTCAAGCATACTTATGCTGGAACTCCCGTAAAATTTGCGGGCGTATTTTTTCGGATTTTGAACAGTGTTTTCCTCAGATTTAAAGTGGCTAAATGTCGATGACTTTTGAAACTTGGTTATTTTTCAACGACCAGTGGTAAATCTGGCTATTTTTGAATTTCTCCCTCTATATTATATATACTATATACTCTCTCTGTTCCAGTTATGCGAACCTATTTTTTTTGGTCTGTTCCAAAAAGAATGACCCCTTACTAAATTTGGAAATAATTTAGCTTAAATTTTCAATTTCACTTTTAATGAGAAGCTTTTTTAACCACACAAATACGCTGGACCCCTTTTTGACTTGTTTAGGGCCAGAAATTACAAAAGTTTTTATTTTTTCTTAAACTTCTTGCCCTTTCAAACAGGTTCATATAAATTGGAACGGAGAGAGTAATATATTTTTACATCAGTATTTTACTCATAACTAAAATACAGTACAATTAATTTTCCATGGCACTCAATTTGCTTAATCATATTAAAAATGAACACATTTTAAAATATAAAGTCGATAAGAAAATTTACTTTTAATATTTATTGTAAATAATAAAAATAGATTTATTTAAAAAATGAGTTTTTATAGTAAGTAAAACTTTAAAAAAAATCAAAGATATTTGTGTTTAATATTAATTTTTTAAAAGTTTTATCTGTTAATATTATTTCTTTAAAAGTACTAATCGATGTGTCAGTGTTCTAAATGTGGATATTTTATTTATCAGAGTAATGAATATGGCTTGACTAATAAATCTGTGAGCTTTGATTTTATAATTTTCATTTCAAATATTTCATTAGGCATGGTTAAGAACGTTAACTTGAGATTTGTTTACAGTAATGTTACTGACAAATTTAATAATGCTACCTATATATCTTGAAAATTAACGTTAAGGAAGAAATAAATATAAGAATATATTATAAAAATATTAAATGAAATAATATAAAATTTATTTTAATTTTAAGTAAATAACCTAGGTAAATTTATATTATATTATATAATATAGAAGGTTTTACATAAATGGGATGATTTATAATGTCAAGGGAATAATAGACTTTTTAGGTGAAATTTTTATAAAATCCGGTCAAAGTGACTATTGTGATAACTAGAGAATAGTAAAATAATTTTTGTGCAACAAAAGAAAGGAAAATGACTTTTTTATAAGATAATGAACACAAAGTTGAAGGACTTTTACGTACAAAAAAAAAAAAGATGTTTGGATAATGAATACAAAGCTGAATGACCAACTATGAAATTTACTCGAGTAATACCTACGAAACAAATTTAAACTTTGTGACAAAACACAAAATCCTTAATTAATCAATCTCAATCCCAAACTATTTGGAGTTTGAACAAAATAACAAAGTAAATGGGAAAACAAAGAAAAAGGCAACTAATTATGACTAAGAATGTTAACGAGGATATAACTCAGTCATCGACGCCTCATTTCGTGATGAAGAAACAGATTTACTTTTGGCTAGTTCACTAGATTCTGACATTCTTGAATTGTATTCTTGAATAAGCGAAGTCTCTGCGCTAATATCAGTGTGCATATAATATGCAGGCCCTGAAGGAACTGGAAGACTCAAAGAGAGGCTACTGAGCATGAGAACTACTGCAGCCATAGTTGGTCTATCTGCCACATTTTCTTGAACGCACAATAAAGCAATGTGGATGGATCTCATTATGTCACGAGCCAGTCCCGTGCTTCCCCTCAACATGGGGTCTATCAAATTTGTAGCTGTTCCTTCGCGCCAGTTCGACCAAGCCTGTCATAGTTCAGTTCTTCAATCATACGAAATCATATGAAAAAGAAGTAGGAGGAGTAATTGATTCTTGTTTTTCTAAAACATAACATATTTTGGAATAAATTTTATTCCAAAAGGCTAATAATAATGCATGTAGCAGGTCCTAAATAGTTTGGATTTAGGATTACTTGCTTGATTAATCTAGTTACTTACATAGCTCAGAAGGTCTTCCACAGATTCTCCATTTCTGAAACAAGTGTTTCTTTGGCCACTTAAAATTTCTAAGACTAGTACTCCAAAGCTAAAAACATCTGATTTGACTGAAAATTGTCCGTGCATCGCATATTCTGGTGCCATATATCCACTGGAAAACAAAAACAAGAGTCACATGACACATTGCAACTTAGATATGATTCAGTTGTTAAAGTTTTTTTTTTGTACAAATATATATTGCACCTCACATCAGCAGACTGAGGTTAAAAGGCTAAATATACAATTCTGGGGTTTAGAAGTCCAAACAGTGGGATCAACAAAACTCAAATAAGCTGTCAAAATTGGGAACTACTTGATGTTTAAGTCAGACTACATGTAAAGGTCATTAAAGAACTTATACTATTTTCAATGAACTTAGGAAGGCACAGTACAACGTTGTGCTGCAATTTATACTGCAAATTTGATAGTTATGGTCCCCTGATGTTTGCTTTCTTTTTTCTGCCTTTCCTTAATAAGAATGTATCTCACTGCAATGTGAAGACAACTATTAGACCATTGATCTATTCTTGGCTGAGGAAACTGCATGTTTGATGAGTTAAGACGTACATATTATATTTTGCTGCCAAGAGATGATATGTAATTTCCTCTCTGAACAAGGAGAACTCATTCCCAGAACTCATTAAAGAGATTACAATGACATGCAAAATCCATACTTAAAATTCTTGTAACATTTCAAGGACAGATTTGCTTTTGTCTCGAGACAGCATTTATTCTTGCTAAATGGTTAATGAATCCTTGAGAATGATATGAAAAAGGAGTAACAGTCTATCTAATGAGAGATGTGAAACTTACTAGGTCCCAGCAATTCTGCTTGTGTTGCCTTGAGTTTCATCCAATGTAAATAGCCTTGCCATGCCAAAATCTGAGATTTTGGGATTCATTTCTGCATCTAGTAAAACATTACTAGCTTTAAGATCACGATGAATGATCCGAAGTCTAGAATCTTCATGAAGATAAAGAATTCCCCTAGCAATGCCCCCTATGATTTTTGATCGCCTTTCCCAATCCAGTTGCCTACGCTTAATTGGATCTGGCAACAAGATCAAAAATATAATTTACAAGTTCAGCTTTTATAGACTTACAATATAGAAGGATTTTAAAAATCAAGTCAAAAGATTACTATACAATTGGAATTAGTTTTCCAGAAAATAAGGCAGACAACATGTGAAATTACACAGGCAAAACATTAAGCAATACGTACCAAATAAAAACTGGTCAAGACTTGCATTAGGAACAAATTCATAGACAAGAAGTCTCTCTGTTCCATCTAGGCAAAATCCCAGCAACCTAACCAAATTCCTGTGTTGAAGCCTAGAAACCAACAAGACCTCATTTTTGAATTCTAGATCACCTTGGCCTGAGTCTGCTGACAATCTTTTCACTGCTACTTCTAGCCCATTTGAAAGCTTACCCTGAAGCAAACGAGCAAAAATTGAAAAATTATGAAGTAAACAACAACACCTCAATCCCAAGCAAGCTTGAGTCAGTTATATGAACCCTCAGTGTCCATCTTTTGCATCAATTAAGCCTAATTACCTTGTACACAGGACCAAATCCGCCTTGTCCCAACTTATTAGCATTTGAGAAGTTATCTGTTGCTGCTCTAATTGTAGAAAAATCATATTGCAAGGATTCTGCGGTGCTAATATCATCCCCGCGTATACCTTCACAAACATAAGTATACAACAAATTAGTGAAACATGGTCCTAAGAATTCAGCTTTCCTTAATCATAGTTTGTTACTCCTAGTAGTTTGCGCTTACTCTGAATTTCGTCCACCAGCTTTCTCTTTCGCATCTTCATGCAGATGACATAAATACAAACTATAAGAATAACAACTGCAACAATTGGCACGACGATGATGATGACAGTTCGTGCTGTTTTATCATCTTTCCCTGTTGGAGCTGTTCCATCATCCTTCCCTATTGGAACTGTTTTGTCATCATTCCCTACAAAAACGCTTCAAATTAGCATAATATCAGTTTTTAACACTCGTGTGAAAATAAGTTACTATCTTCTCTCTTCCAATTCGCTTGGTCTGCTTCCCTTTTCAGGTTATTTAAAAAAAGTAATTCATAGTACTAGATATCACAAATACAATATTTTCCTATAATATAGTATGCTCTTCTTCAACGCAAGTCAAAATTTGAGGTGTGATAAGGTTAAATTGTGTGACCATTTCATATGGTACACTTTCATTTACTTAATTATGTCTTTAACACACCTGTAAAACTTGAACCCACAACCTTGTCCAATTCGCTACGTAATTATGTTTCGATAGTCGTTTAAAAGTAGACAATCAACAAATTAGGATGAGGAGAAGGATCAACAATAAAAATGTAATTCACCTGTAGGTGGCAGAGCTTCGAACGGCACCTCATTAAAGAAACGGGAACTTTCATAGCGGAAATTGCACCTAACCCCTATGATTCTGCCACCCCTCTTGCCATTGCAGGGACAATTAGGCATATCTCCATAAGCGTCAGTTAAACAATCGACGCAATTCTGAGGAGATAAATCAGGAGTACACTGCGCAAGTGCATATATAGTCTGAAAATTTGGACCGGTGGCATTACCACTAGCATATTTTCGAAGAGGACCACCACCTGCAGCTTGGCCTCGCAAATCATCCAATAATTTTCTCAGCTCCTGGTTAAACTCCTCAGGTTTTGAAGCATCCCCAGAATTCCACAAGTAATATTTAGTAGAAAATGAGGTAGTGCCTAGAATGGATTGATTCGAGTACTGTAACATACATTCATCATAGCCACCAAAAGCTTCTTTCTGGTTAGGACATAACTGTACCAGCTTTTGAGAAACGTTATTGACACAACCGCGACATTCTTCCACCTTCACATCTCCTCTACATAGCACAATAGCACTGGCCGTATCAATGTTTTGGCCAATGGAAGCATTATAGAAACCATATTTATCCATATTTGAGGAAAGGGAAGAGAGGAGTTTGTTAAGATTGTTCTGGTATGTACTATTTTCAGTGTAGTTACCATTGTTACCACATGAAGAGTATCGTAAATCAGGCAGCTGCGCTAGGATGAGACCATGAAGATGTATATGCAGAAAAAGAAAGAGAAGCCATTTCTGAATGGCTATGGTCATGGCTGTTTAAGCTGCTCGATATATTAAAGCTTATATATTTTGAAGAAAATAAAACAGATAGAATGGTTGGCTACAAGTGATAAGCAGATTTTGATAGTAAATTGGGTGCTGAATATGTAAGATTAGCAACTAATTCGTTCACACGCCCTGAGTTGTAAGAGCTTGAAAGAGTAAATAGAGCAAGAGAAAACGTGTCGTGGAAGGGGGCAGCGGACTACAATTGCGTGAGCAGAAAAAATTACACCTCCATTTCATTAAATTACAAATATTTTTCTTAAATTTCATATTCAAACAACTATAAGTCACATAAAACTGGAATAGCTATTTCTAAGAACCACATTAATCAAAGGAAAAAAGGAGATTTGACTTGGTCTTTGGAATTTTCTTCTTTTTTTCAAAAGAGAGCTCGGATGAACTATATATATTTTATTTTTGGAGTTGACAAATGGACTCTTACTATAGAATTCATTGAATTCAACAACTAGTATAATTTATGGGGGTGATGGGACAGGAGTTGGTAGGAACACGCCACCAAGGGGGAAATTTTGGCGTACTACCTGCTTGTCTTTGAACGTTTCAACTTAATCTGATCCTAGAAAAGGAACTCGCAGGGTCATTTGGTTTGTGGGATAAGAGAGCGCAATACTGAGATAAAATGCGGGATTATTTAATAGGTATTAGCCTTTTTTGCATATAATGTGTAAGAACTTTTCAAAACTCATTCTTCTTCCTTTGCTCATCCATTCCAGATCCACCCCTCCTCTCTTCTTCACGGATAACAAACAGAGCACAACACAAAGTTTTAAGATTTATTTTTCTAGATTCTTCTTCTAGAATAAAAAACATACATCGATTAGAACACCAATTATAGGTAACCGAGGAGGTATATTGAGTCATGCATATAATTCAAACCATGCGACATTGTTGATGGTTATGATGTTGCCATCATAAAAACACCAACACGACTTTTATAGCTAAGAATATTTAATAAGTAAATGGAAACGTCGAAGTTATTTAATGGGAGATTTGCATAATAGGATCATTCGGTGTAAATATTTAAGTTATGATCATGTTTTGAAAAGTTTGGCAAAAATAGCTTGCGTGCCAGAATTCGAAACTTCTAGATTAATATCAGTGGCGAAATTAGGAATTTCCCCGAAAATATTCAAATTTGAAAGAAGTCAAAAAACTTTCCGACAAGGGTGTTTAATATGTAATATATACCTCTAAAATATTGTATTTTACCTATATATAGAGTACAATTTTTCGGCGAAGGATGGTCAGTTGACCACCCTAATGACCATTTGGCTTCGCCACTAGTTAGTACTCCACTCGAATATGCCACAAGTTCTAATGGATAAGCGAAGACTTGCCTCATCACAAGTCATAACGGATCGTCTTGACTTTAATTCACAAGTCCATGGTGGTTTATGAATATTAAAGTATTATTTCACTCTTACATAGTACCACATGAGAAAATAATTGAGTCAAATAATGCAAAGTATTATTTCACACGTATATCATGGCCCGCCACATCATCATGCCACGTAGGTGCCACTTGGCATATATTTTTGTCATATGGAAAGCTTACATATGAAATAGACTAGCACATGTGGGAAGGTTCTAGAGAAAATATAGAGGTTTTCCTTGGAAGACCCTAGAACCCTAAGGATTTGCTAGGAAAGTCCTTGGAAGATTCTAGCTATGTAAAGAGTTCTAGAGAGGGGACTTACTTATAAATAATAAGGGACTTGTATAATAATTTTTATTTATTCACTAGCCCCTAGGAGACTAGTATATAAAGGGAGATATTCATTTGTAACTCATCAAGAAAAATAATCAAGTCTTCTCTAATACAAAAGCTTCCTTAGACAATTCTCCTATGTTCTAATATTACTTAGCGATCTTGAGTGTAGTAAGCCTGACTTGCCATATCAAGAATGTGAGCAAATTGTGCAAGATCGTGAACAAGTTGTCAAGTGCCGCACGTGCGCTCAGTTCAAGGCTAAGGACGTGACATCGTAGTATTAGAGCAAAGGTTATGACTAAAGGAATGTTAGAAAGAGTACAAGCGATTGCTAGAAGGAAGCTTTGTAGGGAACCTTGGTAAGGGATTAACAAAGGCGTGGTACTTGCAAAAGGGACAAATGTGAAGGTCTCTAAGCAAAAGGAGTATGGCGGTGCACGGGACGCACGTGAGACGGACGACCTACTTTGGAGGATGGACAAGTACTTTAAGGTAGTCAAGGAGGATGACGAAGTTGCTAAGGTACACAACGCCTCAATGTACTTGACCGAGGTTGCCGCGTTGGGGTGGCATCGGAGGTGTGCCAACATGGAAAAAAGGGCTATGAAAGATTGAGACGTGAGTGTAGTTCAAGAAGGAGTTGAAGAGCAATTCTACTCGACGAATATGGTGTACGAGGCTAGGCGGAAGCTAAGGAAGCTCCGACAGACGGCCACAATTCGGGAGTATGTGCGCAGGTTCAGTACTTTATGCTGCAAATCTCGTCATTATCCGAGGAAGATTCCTTCTTCTACTTCATGGATGGATTGCAAAATTGGGCAAGACAGGAGTTAAGAAGACGTTAAGTAGCCAACATGGACGAGGCCACAGCGGTAGCCAAGTCCCTCGTTGACTTCAAGATGGAGTCTGCCAAGTCCAAAGAAGGCAACGCCGAGAGGGGTGTGGGAGATCATGACAAGGACAAGGGAAAAAGCATAGCCAAGTTATACAAGGGCAATGGCAAGGGTCTATCCTATAACGAACAGGGGTCCAAGAGAAACGGCAAGGGGTCGAAATATGGTAGTGAGTACGTGCCTAAGGGAGGGTGATACTTCTGTAAAGGATCACACCTAGAAAGTGAATGCCTAGAGTTGGGGAAGATTGCAGGAATGATAGGAAACTTTGCTCAGGCACATAAGGGTGACACAGGAGGGACCGCCTGTATTGGGGAGATGCGCTTGGAATCTAAGCTAAAGGTAGGGGATTCCAAAGCCTATCTTGGCACCATGCAAATGGAGCATGGTGGTAGCAAGAAAAGTTTGACGGACATAGTTGAAGAGGATGGCGAGTTACAAAGTGATGGCACGCTATTGGACTTAGACGATGCACCAAGCAGAGGGGTCAAATTTGCTAGCAAGAGGGAAAAAAGGGGGCGCGACGGCATGGTGACTCTGCTGGGGATATCTTAGGCTCTTACCATAACGAACTTATTTTTTTTTATGAATTAGTCCAAGCATGCCTTATCCCGTACCCTTTCCCCTTATTTGAATTTAACTGACTATTTTAAGCATTTATGATTCTTTATTTTCGAAACTGACTTGTCTCCTTGTTTTCTTTTCTATATATGCCTTCAATTATTTAAATACTGCATTTATTATTCTTACGTTCAATTACTTGACTAGATGCTATTTATTGCTGCATAATTCATGCTCCACATCATATTCCACTCGTGCGTATCAAATCCTAGCAATGCTTGATGAGTGGTTGCGCTCTTCCTATTAATTACCCTTAAATTCGAAAAGGCTTATTTGCGGTAAAACTAGTCGATCAGCGGTGCAGTCGACGGTTCCGTACCTTTCCCCCTCAAGTTGTCCGCTTGAGGGTACCAGTCTAGACCCCCATAGTAACCTTACTCTAATCGTAATTGTGCATGCATCATGGTCAAACCTAGCCGGATTAATATGTTGTGCACATAATAATCCTTTAAGACAAGCCTTATCCAAAAGTCCACCGGGGTTTCCATAATCCCAACGGACACAACCACGTTCTGTGCATTAATTTGGGAAACAAAATGCCAATATGCTAATCATAAATGTATAAATAGTCGAGTCTAGTGGGGGATAAGAGACTAACCCTTTTGTTTTGCAGAAAATGAGGAACGAGGTCCCCAGATTCAGTATGGTTAGCATACCCTCACTCTTGCTAGACTGGTGGAGGGATCTTCCATCAAGCGACCAAATCAATGAATGGAAAGAGAGGGCCGTCAAAACTAGCGAAAAGCTGGAATATCTGGAATACAGTCTGATGGAATTGGAAGGAAAAGTGTGGAATAGAGTCATCGACTGCCAGAACGTTGAGGGAAACGAAGGAGGACATTTGGCAAAGGCATTCTTACTGATGAACCTACACGAACTGGGGGATTTGATCAACAAGAGCATTCAGTCTGGGGAAGGTCCTTCTGGGACCAAGTAGACTAGATTTACTTGCTTTCCTAAAATGTAATAAGGCCAAGTGCCAGTAGTGACTTATCTTTTTTCTATCATCTTAGTGTCGTTTTGGGATTCGTCTATTTTTATATTATGAAATGAGGCATTTGTTGGCGTCTAAATTCTCCAAATCTACTTGTCGCCAGGCCTACCTCGGGCACAACGAGGCTCCCAAATTAGAACGCGAATTTACATTCCCGCAATACGTGATTAAATACTGCAACACTTCAAAATCCTCACTAAATTGTTACCTTTTTGTTTTTGCCTTATGTTTGATTATTTCTATCCCCTAAGGTTGGTTCGCACATACTGGCATCATCAGCATACCTAAAGGCCTTCCACATCCTCCTCTTCCAAGTGATCCTAAAAGCAATGGAAAAGTCAGAATAGATGATACAATGCAGTGCAATAGTTGAGGAGGAGGAGGAAGAAGGCCTCACTATTCAGACTGTGGAGAAGGGAGCTGTTCTCAGGAACTGGACCGCCACACCATCCCGGGCCCGTCGAGTCACTGGGTAGCTTGGCAGATTTTATTTTTGCAGCCACTCTAGGCATTTAAAATTTTTAGTAACTTTGTTTTAAAGACTTTCTTGTTTCAAAATAAATGCTCGATTCATCGAGCCGTATTTGTCTGGATGTTGTTTAAATTTAATCAAATGCATTTTCTCTTTATTATTCATTACTATTTTCTACACTTTTTCTTTCTACGGCATTATTATTACTTTTCCTGATGAACCGGTGACTGTGACATGTAATGAGGCATCGCAACATGAGAGAAGTGATTCAGATGAAGAAGACGAGATACCCGAAGAAGTTGTTAGGGAGGTGGAAAACTTTGAGAATAAGCCTAAGTCCAATCTGGACGAGATCGAAGCAGTAAATTTGGGGGACGCCGAGACCGTCAAGGAGACTCGCATCAGCATTCACTTATCACCAACCGAGAAGGAAGAGTACATCCGCTTCCTAAAAGAGTATGAGGACATTTTCTCATGGTCATATGATGACAT